TTTTGATATTAAGAAAAATTGCATTTTAGCCCAAAAGTACGACACAGACTCTATTCACCGTTCACTGAAGGTATCGGCACTTCAGCTTGAGGTATCGACCCCTCAGGCAATTTTCTGCAAACCAGGCCAAATTCTTACCATCATTTTAGTGTGAGACCCACTTCTATTCTAATTAAATTTTCTGAAATCCTACAAATATTCATTTAAGATCAGAATTACGGAGTTTTGGGAGGCTTTTGATAATTCTTTTGGGATACTCTTGAAGATCAAAATAGAGAAAGTAAAAACAAAAAATTCTTATTAAATAGGATTTTGTTTTTCTTAAATTAATTTTATTTAGTAGATTTTTATGGTTTTCCTCCACCGCCACCTTCTCCATTTTGTGGGAAAGAACCCTGGAAGTTCCTGTTCCACAAGGAACTAAATTCCAGTGCGACCTTCCTTACATGGAAGGTTGCTTTACCGGCGAAGTGAAGAATTTCATAGCCCTCCAATCTGAATCAGAGTAAACCTGGAGATCTCCACAACACATGCAGAGTGATTGAAGGCAAGTATGTAGATCTTCTGGCTCAGAATGATGAAAGCAAAAAGCCGTGGACTAATCATAGAGCAGAGCAACTCAAGTGGGAAAAACAAGTGTTTGAATGGGCATGATGAGCAACCACCAAAATCGGTGATGTACTTCTTTGGAACCACAAGTTCTATGTCAGAGGAACATATTAATGAACTTGCAGTAGGGTTGGAAGAAAGCAAGATGAGATTCATCCGGGTACTCAGATATGCTGATAGAGGAGATGTTTTTGCAGTGGAAGATCAGAGTCTAAAGCTTCCAGAATGGTTTGAAGAGAGAACTGGAGGAGCAAGGATGGTTATAAGAGAGTGGGTGCCTCACGCTGAAATTCTGAGACACCCCTCTACTGGATGTTTCATGAGTCACTGCAGATGGGGATGGTGTCTAGAGAGCATTAGTATTGGTGTGCCAATAGCAGTGTAGCCCATGCACTCCATGCACTCCATGCACTCCATGCACTCCGACCAGCCAAGGAATGCAACATTGGTGGGACGGGTATTGAAGGTCGGCCTGATTGTAAGAGAATGGTCACGCAGAGGAGACTTGGTGACTGCATCGGCTATTAAAGAAGCTCAGAGAACAATAATGGCATCTGAAGAAGGGCGAATGATGAGGAAAGGGCAGAGGAATTAGGAAGAGCTGCTCATCAGGCTACCAGGGAAAGTGGAGTTTCTCACAAGGAGTTGGAGTCCTTTATCAACCACATCACTAGTTAGATCATCATTGATATAAAGCTAGTTACTTCAGACTCCAAAATCAAAGCTCTATCATTGAAATAAAATTGTTAAATAAAAAGAGTAGGACATTTCATCTTCAGAATTCAGATCCTGGAAGTAGTTAACGAGACAAGAGAAACTATATGTACAGATAAAAAGAAGGGCAATCCACATCAATCTCTCAGTTCAGTACTATAAAAACGAAGCCTAAATTATGCGGCTTGGGTTTGAGAAGCGTTCGGTTACATTATGATACAGGTTTAGCCTCAGGAACATCATCAAGGACAAAGGAACCTAGTTTACCTGTCCTGAACAAAGTAAGAAACTTCTTTGATACCATTAATCGAGCTTCAGAAGCTTTGTGAGGTATTTTCAGGGCCTTCTGCAACTCTTCGAATTGCTCTTCTATTAGGCACTCCAAGTCATTCTCATCTTCCAAGTTGCCATTGAATTCTGACAGAGTACCATACAGTGCACGCTGGACTGCTGTCACAATATCCTGTGATTGAACAAGAAAAGGATTGAATTTAGTCAAGGCATTAAAAGTCTGGCTGACCTATGTTATCCACTTCAAACCTCCAACAATTACAACTTAAGACCCCACAATCCATGTCCAGACATCCCACAGCATCTTTTAATTGCCAAAATTATGGAAGGTGGCACAACTATTACAATCACCAGCCATTACAGATAATGTGGAAACAAACAAAAAGAAATACAACTGAAAAATTAGAAAGTAGCATACATCCCATAATTTTATTTGTTTTTTTAAGTATGCGTGTGTGAGAAAGATGGAGAATGTTTTTGTTACCTCAACATACTGCACATCAGACACATTTGCTGGCTTCCTCCTCCTTGGCCGAAGGTCTTTTAAATCATACTCAGGTTTACCATCAGAAGCAGAATTAATCTCTTCCATCTTCTTATTTAGATGCTTCCAGTGAAGCGGGGTGGCCCTAGTATTTAAAACTGCCAGTAGATATTGTGCAATACGCTCCTCACCAACCACTGAATCTTTTACAGACCCTGCATATGCAATAAATAAATTAGCTGAAATTATTTTCATTTGGTAGTGTACACAAACTGAAAATTCACTCTTCTGATTGAAACCTAGCACTTAAAGAGAATTCATTTGATAGAAGAGGGGAAATGGACACTATACAGATATTATAAACATTGAAAAGGATGCAAAACCTGCAAGAGCTAGCTTTAACCCCGTCTCTAAGTTGGGAATGCTAGGCACAAGTATTCCTGGAGTGTCAAGGACATATATGCTTGGCTGATGAGCAATCTGCATGCTATGAACACAAAAACATTAAAGCATAACCACACACTAAATATCCATAGGTTGAAGAGTGGAACTTACACAATAGATGGTATCATTTTTCTTTTCTTTTTTTTTTTTGCTCAACAACCATACATAATGTCATTGACAAATACCAAGTGAAATAGGCATGGAGAAAGAGAAAACAAAACATTTTAACAGAATGGGTTAAGAAACAACATGTATTATAATTGCTAGAAATTAAAAGAAACATAAAAATTAACAATAGTCAATCCCAGTTTGTTTTTGGGTTTTTGCATGACATACGCATCTACCAGAGAGAGGAAAACATGAGCACTTGACCTTGTATCCAGCAATATCTTGAGTAACACCAGGCAATGGACCCACTGTGGCTCGCTTCTTCTTCTCCTGCACTATGTAGACAACTCCAGACTATCATTTGCTCAAGATCAATGACATTGGACCAAATCACTGGTAACTAATTACTCAATTAATTTCCATGCTTAAAATAAATTAAGATTCAAAACATATCATCTTAGGACAATCACAATAAAAAGAAGTAAAGAACATCTTACCAGGAAAACGGGATGATGCAATTTGATGGATTGAGTTAATTAAAGCTGATTTCCCCACATTAGGAACGCCAACCACCATGACAAGGAGGGTAGGCTCCCTAGAAATCACTTCCTTTAGTTTGAACTCCACAAGTTCAAGTAGCTGTAATTGAACAATAAAAGAAAAATGAAAGGAAAGTTAACATAGTTATTATTGCTGAATTTCATATAAGTAAAAGAGTCAGCATCTACACAATCAACCACAGAAAGTAAATTTCAGTGTTTAAATTAGAAAAGACTGCACTAAGAATCTATATACAAAGGAATTCTTGCCAATAAATTGAAGGGTTATCAGTAGTCCATGTACATGGTTTATGATATCTTTAGGATAGAAACACAAAGTTCAGCTGTGATCATAGAAAATGATAAAACCAGGAAATTCAGAATAAATTACAATTAGAATTAGGTAAAAACAAAGCCACACAGGTAAAGATCAGCCATCTGCCAAATTAAGGTTTATTAAAGACTAGTAGTGAAATTTCTCCCAGAAAAATTTGTAAAATCTCCATGGCAGTCAACTAAGCTAAGCGATTGTGGAGGTAAGGACCAAAGTTCAACAACGACTACAACACAATAAAAATCTTTTTTGAATAATAAACTTCAAAATGTTCTACTATTGACTGCAAAGAAAGTCTCTTCTTCCTGTCCTAACTCCTAAGTGCAGTGAATTCCTTAATGAGGTTTTCTTAACAGCTAGTCAAAAATCACACTCCACAATATTCCACTGAGAATAAAAACGGCTTACCTTTCTAACAGAACTTCTGCTATGCGCATTTATTGGAAGACAATCTTGCTTACATGACTCAAAATATCGTACCCATTTCTACAACAGAAATTAAACAAATGAGCATAACATTCATAAAGGAGTTAACAATAATCATAAAAAATACATGATAGATACAACGTTCAAGAAACACAAAACGCATACGATCAAATTTGCAAAATAACGATTCCTAAGAAAAGCTAAAACGAAAAAGTAATTGGAAATTCAAGTACAAGAAGGTAGAAAAACCAACATTGAGAATATTGGGGTTGGCTAAATCTTTCTTATTGAGAGCAATAACGCGCCTTTTGGCTGAGAGATGAGACTGCAGTTCTTCATGAGCAGAGGACAATGGTATCTGCAGGTAGGGAAACAGGACATGAAAACAAAATCAATAGAAAGTGGGGCACAGAAAGTGTAAAGTTTATAATTTTACGGAACTCGGGCATCTCGGACTTCGATGACGAGGTCGGAGAGCTTGAGGCGTTGGCGGATGGCGCGGGTGGCGGCTGCCATGTGGCCGGGGAACCAGTTGATGACTCCACCGTCTTTGTTGAACGCCATCTCCCCCAACTCCATGCCTTTCTTCACTACACCCTTCAACCCCATTTCTGTTTCCTTCGTTTTCTATCACCAACTGAATAGATGAGAAGTACGTTTATGGTTTAAGAACAGAGCGGCACATGGCCGCCATAGCCGAAACTGGACGAGCTTGGAAGGAAAGGGATAAGTATTTTTTTTTTTTTTTTCCAGTTTAGGGATGGCCTGATTTTGAAGGATTTGTGTCCAAAGCCCAAAGCTCTAACCCTAAACCAGATGTGAAAATCAGTCCAACGGGCCTGACCCAATGGGTAACCTTTGACATAATTTGACAACGGTATCATAAAAAAACTATACAAGTGAATATGATTGTAATCACCTATCATTTATTAAAATTACTTTAAAATTATTTAATTTAATTGATATTTTATTTTTTTAATTTTTCTCATAAACAATTAGCTATCGCATCTAAAAATATCATTTTATAAACTAATTTTAATATGTTAAAAAATATATATGACTTATCAATTATCAATTATTTTTAACAATCAAACTAAACAAAATTTACTCACCTTAACAAAATGATAGATAGTTATAACCACACCCTGAATGAGTGAATGAAATTAACAATTGCAATTCAAGCCTCTTAGTAAGAGGATGCAAACTGAATAAAAGCTTGGTTGACTTTTTACTCACTAACTTAATATTAATTTTGATTTAGGGTTTATGTGAAAAGTTCAAATTTTTATAATACCAAACAGTTAACCTCTAATATACGAGGATAAAAATCTAGGAATCTCCCAAGAGCATAGATAATTGTTACCAAATAGATATGAATGACAGGAATGGAATACCAATTCTAATGATTAATGTAATTTCAATTCCAAGAACATCAGAGGCCGTAAATTTTCTTGGCCTAACAAATTCCTCACTGGTTCTTCCAGTCAGAATGCCTTTTATAAAGCTTCTTTATAAAAGCATTCACTTTGTCACATGGTCATGGAACACTGGCACGTATAAACGATTGCTTCTGATAACAAGAAACAACCAAATATTGAATCTAAAGGGTTACAAAAGAAATAGAACAATCTCAAATCTTCAATTATTTACCAAGATCAAGTTTTATTTCTTTCTTGCTGCTATCTGTACAAAACGAGGAAGGATAAGATGATTACTACACTTTACAAGTAAAGCTTACAGTTCTGTTGTTGTCCTAACTAATGTGTAGCAGCCAAGATGATGTATGATAACGAGTGAAAAATGACTCAACTGAAAAATTACTGAGATTGATGTCGAAAGCGTTTGTTGATTTTAATGGAGTGGTCATAAGCTCGATCGAGGTGCTTCTGAAATCTTCTAAGGTCTAATCTCACAGTCTGACTCCCAAGATAAATCTCCTTTGTATATTGCCATCCCCTTTCAGTCACACTACTTGGATTTCTGAGAACAGGATCATTTTTCTCATAGATGTCATACAAAGAGCTCTCTCGAGGAAGAATCTTGTAGCCGATATACTTCAAACCAAGCTTCCTTGCAGGCCCTCCATAATATGTCTCTGCTGCCCAATCTGTTCCAAGGGGAATAACTTGGATAAACACAGATCCAGGTCTCATAAATAGAAAATGTGTCATTGCAGCACCATGGACACCAACCATGGCATCACTTGAATTAAGGGCCCGGTAAAACTTAGCCAGTTCTGTTGTTCTTTCAGGCCTCAAAACTTGAACCTGGAAACCAATTTTCTCTGCTGCTTCCACCAACAAATTCTCGTTTGTTATTGCTCTAGAACCATTTCGAGACAAGATAACTAGTTTGGGTTTCCTCGGTTGATCTCCTAGCACCTTTTCCCTAGTCTCTAATGAGGATTCAGATGATGGGGACTGCGAGAGCTTTTCCTTCTCATCTTGCTCCTCATCCTGAATCAGACCTCTAATTCTAGGCCAGTAAGCTCTGTCTAGAAGGTTTCTAAAATCAACAATGCTCCTATTCCCATTCATAAGTGAAGAGTCCACAGTGAGCTCATCATGTATCCTCAGACCAACAATTGCCTCCGGGAAGCAATGAGTTCTATTGTCTCCTGTAAAATCTATAGCCGGGTATTCTGACAGATGTGACAGGATATCCCCATACTTCATAATCCACCAATCATGATATTCAAGCATCACAAACACAACCTTCTTGTTCAAATGCTGGGAAGTGATGTACAATGGCAAAATCCCATCATTAAATTCATGATAAAGGTTCCCAGTATAGCCTCCCGTTGAGAAAACTATTGCTGGAACATCATGAATAACATCACAGCGGTGGCCAATACCCAAATTTTCTCTCTTCAATATGAGGTTTAATTCATCAATTGTATCCATCACACTTGTTTCCCATTTTCGGGTATACGGTTTGATCTTCTCATGTTGAAGTTCTCTATATTCCCCATCATCTTCACCAGGGTGTGGAACATAACTAATGAATCCATTGCTGTCTTCTGATCTATACAAGAATATAGCAGAGGAGGCAGAATGTGTTCTAATATCACCCTTCATTATACAAACATCAGAACGATAATGACTCCTGTCACAGCAAATTGTCCCTGAACTTAGCCCAAAAAAAGAACAGTAAGATTCACATAAAAATCGGGAACATAAAAAAACAAGTCAGAAATCATCCAGCATAACATAATTAACATTCATCTAATATTCATCTGTTATTCATCTGTTTGATCAAATCAAAAGAGACCAAAAATCCAATCTATACATAACTATACAATAATTTGGAAACAGAAAACCATGGAGAAGAAAAGAATACTGACCATTGGAGACTGAAGAACAAAGAGAAGCATTTACATAAAGGCCTTCATTTTGGACACCAAATGAATCTGCAAATACCATCAACAAAAAAGTGAGAAAAATGAAAAAAGAAAAAGAAAAAGAAAAAAGAGGAAAACCCATTGAAGAACGGAGCTTACAAAGACGAAACCAGGAGAAGGAAGGGGTAAAGGGGAGAGCTACAAGGATTAAGCTGCAACACATAAGAGAGAGCAAAAGGAAAGACACAAGTTTAGTCCTTTTCTTCCTGCAGTATCCAGAGTTTTCCCACACCAAAATAAAACTCTGTGCTTCTTCATCCTTCTCGATATCCCCTCCACCCTTCTTCCCGTAATGGTGCCGGTGATGGTGCATCATCTCTTATTCACTGAAACCCAAAACAGAGACCAAAAAGGGAAAGCTTTTTTTTTCTATGGTATCCAAGTTAAAAACCAAAACTTTAAGGGGAAAACAAGGGGAATTTATTCTGGTTTGTTTTGGGGAATGTTGTTTTTGCTATATAAACAGAGAAAAATGAAAGGGAATGAAAGTATTGAACGTGGTTGAACCAGAGAAATGGAAGAAGGAAGCTGAGGGAAGGAGACGCGTACAAAGGAGGCCAAATCAATATCAGCGTATTGAAGAAGAGAAAGGGTTATCAATTACAGTCCAATCGGTTTGGATTTGCGTGCGTAATAGGAAAGACCAGCGAAAGCGGAAGAGAGAGACAAAGCTGTTGCCTTCTCGTTTCTGGAATTCAAAAGTATCCGTTCTGTAAAATCACGCTATTTGGGAAAGCGTGTGAGTTTTGTCACCATGAGTTTTCAATGCCAACTTGCAAGAATATTTTTTAACGCGCGATACCTGTTGTGATTTTTTATTTTTAGTTTTAATTTTTATAAATTTTATAATTTTAATTGAAAATTTTTATACATTCTTATACATTTTACATTATATTATCATAATTATAAAAAATTTAAAAATCATTATAATATTATATTAAATAAGT